AAAGTGTCTAATTCGTACGATTTGTCTAAACCCACGTGATGGTTAGGTTTAGGGGCGGGGTAAGGGGTAGGTCATTTGTACGAATTCATACGAATTGGCCAATTCGTAAAATATGTACGATTTAGCAAAATCGTATTAATTCGTACGAGTGAGGTCGTATGAATTTTTACGAATTAGCCACTTTTTAATCATTCGTCGAATTCGCACGACTTGGTCGTGAGATCGGGTTGCTAATACCAGGTGTTAGCCAAACCCATCTGCCCCATTATCCTGCATGATTCCCTGATATCATAAACTCCTTCCTCTTCCTGGGAACTCTCATCACCCTGGACCTCAAGTGGGCACTGACAGCCCATTCTCACCCCCAAGGCGTCACCTAACTGATGCCTTGGGAAGCATTTGGACATGCTTCAATATCTGACGCTTTAGGCGCCCTTTAGCGTCAATTAGATGACGCCCTAGGATCGCGTGTACCCTACCCCCACCCCACACCTAAACCTAACCGCGTCCTCTAACTGACGCTTTCCTTTAGCGTCAGTTAGATGACGTCGTAGGATCGCGTCATGTAAGTGACGCTAAAGGGCGCCTAAAACGTCAAATATTGAAGCATGGTCAAAGGTGACGCCTTGGGGTGAGAATGCGTTGGCACTGAACATCAACTCTGATTTTAAAAAGAGCACCAGCGGATGTTCTTCCTGCAGCAGATGTAGTAGTTCAACCCAAAGGCAATGATGATGCACTTCTACAGTTCTTTCATCAAGTCCATACTCAGCTTCTCCATCAGCATCTGATACGCTACTGCCGCTCTGCCGAGAAGGTCGTCTGAGAATCTGCCTTCTCTTCAGGACCTGTACACGTTCAGGACACTAAAAATCAGGCAGTTAAGACTCTGGCTAAAACTTTTCACCCTGGACAGAAATTGTCTGAGACACTCTCCTCTGGGAGGAGGCTGCGGTCCATCAAGACATACAGTACATGCAACAAAAACAGATTCTTTCCATCTGTAATTGGCCTCATCAGCAATACTGCAGGAACCATGTTCTCTTATCTGCCTCCATGGACATTAACACATTACATTAAACAAAACTCATTGTTGTTTCATTTCATTACAGTAATGCACACAACTCGTACATTAATGCACATGAAGTGCACTTCCTGCACTAATGTACAGCAGTCAATTTTAATTCATCCTGTTTGATTTATATTTATGCTCCGAGTTTTTTCATTTCTTAATAGTTTCTTTATATTTATGCTCCTCTTTCGTAACTTTTTTGACTTTTCTATCTTACCTTACAGATGTCTATCTTATTAATATTATTTTATTCCTTGTTTTTTTTAAGCACCAGTACACCAAGAAAATTCTGTGTGCATGTAATCCTACGGTACTTGGTAATAAAGGTGAGACTGATTCTGAAATGATGACTTAAAGTCATATGACAGAAAAGTAATAATTTCTTTTTGTCGCAATTATGTCATAAAATGTCACAATAATGATTTGGTATGTTGTAATTTCTACTTTTGTGTAATCATAACTGTGCCATGATTAAGATGATTTTGCAGCAATTGTGAAAAAAAATCACTTTTCACATTCAAAACTTGCTTTGTTTCATTCGAAATGTTTTTGTGTTGAATCTTACATCCAACACAAATAAATTATCTTGTACTGATCTTAAGCGAACTCTCAGTTTCAAACAGATTGGTTTTTAGTTTTTGGTTTTAGTTAATAAAACAAATTTGCAAGCTGGACTGAGAACTGAATCAAAAGTGAGTTGAAATGGCCGTTTGTTCAAAACGATACTCATATGATGCAACCCACCAAGAAAATGATCTGGAGTGGTCGAGATACGATCAGAGTTATTAGTTGCCCATTAAGCTTGATGCAAACGCTTATGTGATCCAGCATGCAGAAACAAAGGGTTCATTTTCAACTCCGAATCAAAGGAATCAAAGTCTTCTTCAGATTCACTAAACCAAAAGCGAACATCAGCCAAACCACAGGTCATGCCATTTGGCTTTCATGTTTCATAAAGGTCAAAGTGTAGGGGAAGATTTGATTATTTTGTTTTTAAATGAAACTGTTTATTGAACCTTTATAAAACCTATGTGCTTTTATGTTGATGGTCATATTTCATACATCATGCTGGCTTTCTTGGTTTGTGAATACAGCTCAAACTCAAAGAGGAAAACTCGCTTTTTTCAGAGGCTCGCTCAATCTGAGCGGTTATATAATTTGGTGCAGTTGCTGACATTTATATGGCCAAAAAGTAAGGTGAAATTCTGATAAGCTTTTCATTTAAATGCATAAAAAGCATATAAATATCAGTTGTTACACTGATCATGAAGCTAAACATTTAAAAATAGTAAATATTAAAGCTCTGTTGTTTTTATTGAGGGGGGGAAACATAAAATGAATGCAATAAAATAATGATTGACAGATGGTCAAATACTTTTTCCTCAAAACCCTGATGTAAATGAAATAATGCATTAATAATCAAATAAATCTAAGTTGCTTCAGTCCATAAGTGTTCATCTTGAAATATCATTAACAATATAAACTTGCATTTAGGCTACTTTATACAGGATTTCACAGCAAAATGACCTGAAGAACTAATAATCAAATAATAATCAAATAAATAGGCCTATAGGCCTTTTACTTCCTAAAAAACGTATCAACCAACAGACGACAGAAGGCATGCAGTATATTGTGTATAACAGGTTTTTCAAATCAAATATGATGCAGTCTTTAGGGTTAAGACTTGCAATGTGTTTTCGTGTGTCCATGCATTATTTAAATAGTCGTCCATGCACCATTAGAATAATGCATATGCTAAACATCAATTCCTGTCCAAAGGGATCTATCTATCTAGTGCCCTTGTCTTGAGGTCAACCACTGTTTAACTTGAAATGCATCATGTAGAGCCTGTCATATCTTAGCACTCTCATTCACATGCTTAGAATACCTCATTCGGTTTTATAATTCAGTACATCTTCCTTTCTGCGCAAGCATTTATCAGTCTGACAATGTGAAGCAACTCAGCCAATATGTTTGTGTACAAAATATATGAAAGTATATGTAAAACAAAATGTTACCATTCACAGCACAGAGTAAAGAGACATGCTTTTGAAATCTGCATTCTTTAAAATGTGCGTCTGGATGGCAAATAGCTCAGAGACCTGTTTTATGAGCTATGCAGACATTTTAATTGTGTAACTGAGAAACAGAATCACTCAGGAGACAGTCTGTCTTTTTTTTTTTTTTCCTCCTCAGACCTGTTGTGTTGTCCATAGCATATTTCTTTTTAAATATGGTCATTTTAAGACACAGCTAAGAAGATGGACCCTCATGCAAAGACACACATCGTAAAGGCCTCATTACCCTTGTATCATTTCACTAATTACAGTTTTTCTTGATTGCAAAACACACTATGACTGATTCAAGCATGGCCCAATTTCCCAAACCATTCAATCAGTTCTTGAAACAATACGTTTTGAGAAACATTTCTCCTGGTTTCCATTAATTTTTACTCAAAAATGTTCTCATTCAGAAAACACAAGTACACAATATAACTCAAGTGTCACACTGTGAACTCATGTGTAAACATTAAACTGATGACACTAGGATTATATAAAAATTGTGTTGTACACCCTAACTCATAATAGTCAAACTGATTTGTATACATTTGGTATTTTGCAACAGTGAGAGACAACTGCCTGGAGGGAGAAAAAATCTTGTCACAAGACTAAGAAACTGCTTTAGTATGAAAAATATGGTCCATCTTGTTATTTTTAAATTGTAATTGACAGTAGCCTATACTGTATTGTATTGCATATAAGTTCATGTTAAATTCTTTGATATTTAAAGTTTTCTTTTCATCCACTGCAATATCTTTTAACAGAAGTGCAAGGAAAATTAACATTTCTTAATGCTGAATTTCACTGTATCTGCACCCCTCTATTCATGTTGTATAGTCTAGGCCTAATTGTAATAGACATGAGCTTTAAAATGATTCCTGGTTGCCAAAGGGTGTTTTTTTGTAACAGTATTTTGAACTGATCTCACTAGTGTTCTCTAGGCATGGGCATAGTTTGTGTATTTTTAGGTTTTGTGTGCCGTATCTGGCCAATGTTTGATTCTGACAAAAGAGAATAGGCTATGTTTTTGACTAAAATAATTGAATTTGAAGTGGAAGTTTGAGGTTTTTAAAAAGCTCTTGTGTAGTTTTGTATAGAGATATGTTTAAAGTTGTGAGAAAATGAGTTGTTTCATTGTGTGTTAGCAATCAAGATAAACTGCAAACGAATGAGTGTTATTGTTATTGTAGACCGTCTTTAGTCACTTGCTGACACCTGTTGGACAGAAAAATGAATTACATGAAAAAGTTTCAGTGCTTTTTAGACGGTTCACATTCGTAAATAAATAAGTTTGGGATATTCAACATTATGATGCCATGCGACTTATTAAATTATCATCATCATTTATTATTATTATTATTATTATTATTATTAGCCTATAGGGTAATTGGATTTTCTTTGTGTGTGTGTGTGTGTGTGTGTGTGTGTGTGTGTGTGTGTGTGTGTGTGTGTGTGTGTGTGTGTGTGTATATTGTGTCATTTTGTCGTGTTTAACTGTAAATACAATCTGTACACTTTTTTTGTGTACACTATATATATATATATATCTATCTATATATATCTATCTATCTATATATATATATATATATATATATATATATATATATATATAAAGAACCTAAATGTATATATATATATATATATATATATATATATATATATATGAAGAGTTCAGATGCAAAAGCCTCTAAGTGCCATTTGAAATTTTCTTCTTTAATGATTATTTTAAAACTTTAAAACAGCTTTTGCATCTGAACTCTTCATATATAGGTTCTTTTTCGTTTCTGTGGAAAATTTTTTCTCCGTACGTCACTTGTGTTATCCTCCAATCCAAAAGGGGGCAGAAATGCTCCGTTAACAGTCCCGTATCATAGAAGAAGACAGCAGCGACAAAACAACAACAGCATCTGGCAGCTGTGTAGTTATTGCCTAATGTGCGATATCAAATTAACATCAAACTTTATAAACTCTCTTTGATTTATTTGTCTACCCCATCGTTGTGTCTTTTAAATATTTAATGGTGAGTGAGATGTCATGACAACCTGATTATATCATAAAATGAAGTTGTTTACATATGTTGACTTTCGGAACTCGTAGTATGTTGTGATTGCAGCTTTAACATGTTAAACCGCTGTCTCCTGCTCATCCAGGATGATCAGATCTAGACCATATAACAGCTGAAGATATCCGTAAACCAGCGGGGAACTCTTCTGTCACACCATGGCCCAGCAGAGAGGAGTCAACAGCCTTCAGTTCAACCAAGACCAGAGTGAGTCTAAAACACATTTTCTTTCAGAATGTTTCTGCTATATAATAACTAATGCTGCTAGACTATCTATCTATCTATTTTGAGCACATTTAATGACCATTTTTAATGTTCATATCTTAGTGAGCACAGTTGTCAATATAATACCAACCTATTTCATGATAGCAAATGTAACCTACATTTTTATATTCAAATGAACACGATTACACAATGTTTACTCCTAGTTCACAGTTTTGAAAAGTAGATTTTTAGGTAGATTTTGAAACCGACTAAAAGGGGAAATAAAGCCAATAATTAAAAAAAAAATAAGAACATATCAGCCAAAAAAAAAAAAAAAAAACTATTAATGATATACTAATGATCTGTACTGTATTCATGTTCTGATGTCCATGTTATTTAGGTTGTTTCTGCTGTGCCATGGAAACAGGTGTCCGCATTTATAATGTGGAACCTTTAATGGAAAAGGGCCATTTAGGTAAAATATGTTTTTTTTAGTTTTTTTTTAAACATGACCTATGTGTAGAGTTATCTATTAAAGTAAATTCACCCAAAAATAAAAATTCGGTCATTAATCACTCACCCTCATGTCATTCCAAACCCGTAAGACTATTGTTCATCTTCAGAACACAAATGAAGATATTTTTGATTAAATCTGAGAGCTTTCTGTCCTTCCATTGACAGCTGTGCTTTGAAGCTTTAAAAAGTTCATAAAGAGAAAGCTTAAATTCAATCCTCATCATATAAAGTGATCGAGTCTCTTCAGAAAACTTTGAACTAAACCTCTCAATTCATATGGATTAGTTTTACGATCTCGTTTATAAACTGAAGCGTCAAAGTGTCAGTTGTGTAGCTTTCAACCAACAGACAGAAATTGCTCAGATTTCATCAAAAAGATTAGATCATCATTTGTGTTCTGAAGGTGAATGAAAGTCTTACAGGTTTTGAACATGAGGGTGAGTAATTAATGACAGCATTTTTAATTTTGGGTGAACTATCCTTTTAATTGTCTGTGATTTGATTGTATATAGATCACGAGCAGGTGGGCAGCATTGCCTTGTGTTCAATGCTTCATCGATCAAACCTCTTGGCTGTAGTGGGAGGCGGCATCAACCCCAAATTCTCTGAAATATCAGGTACACTGAGCACTTTAATACTTGGACTTCCCTCTTAGATGGTTAATGAAGCTGGAATAAACAACATTATCCAATGTTTCATCATATCTTCTTTATCAGTATTAATATGGGATGATGCTCAGGAAGTGCGAGACCCTAAGGACAAATTAGTTCTCGAGTTCACGTTCACCAAACCGGTCCTCGCTGTGCGCATGAGACATGACAAGTAAGATACACGGCCATCAAGACAATAGTGCTTAATTTGTTCATTTCAAAATGTTGTTTGTGTTAATAACATCCTATTTCCTGTCCCTGTATGTGAAGAATCATCATTGTCCTGAAAAACAGGATCTATGTTTATAGTTTCCCCGAGAACCCTGTCAAGCTTTTTGAGTTTGACACTCGAGATAACCCAAAAGGTAATTTTCGAGAGCATTGCTTGTGAGAGGCTTTACTTGTTTTTGATGTATGTATTATTTTTAATCACTGTATTTTTGGGTTTGTAGGTTTGTGTGACCTTTGTCCCAGTTTGGAAAAGCAGTTGCTGGTTTTCCCTGGACACAAATGTGGCAGTCTACAATTAGTGGTAAGATTTATATAATGTCATATTACAGTGGTATTATAAATATAATACATTATTACAGTTGAAATTCAAATGTTGCGTACTAAAGGGATAGTGATGAAAATGAAAAAGCTCTTTCTTCAGATAAACACCACAAGCAAAGATCATATACATTGGAATGGAATGAGGGTTTCATTTTTGGGTCAACTATCCCTTTAAAGCTTTGTCAACACATTAGTAGTGTTATTACCATTATTTAACTTTATTTTATGACTCTTTGACAGGAACTTTCCAACACAAAACCTGGCACATCTTCTGCCCCTTTCACTATCAACGCCCACCAAAGTGAAATCGCCTGCCTGGCACTGAACCAGCTGGGAAGCGTGGTTGCGTCGGCCTCCAGAAAGGGGACGTTGATCCGGCTGTTTGACACTACAACACGAGACAAGCTTGTGGAACTACGAAGAGGAACTGACCCCGCTACACTCTACTGGTAAAGTATTTGAGCTTCTTCTTTGACTAGCTTTGCTCGCTTTGGATACTTTCTAAAGAGTATTGAAGGAGTTCACATATCCACCTTTTTCTGCACCTTTCCCATAATTCATAGTAGGTTCAACTGACTAAACGGTTTTCTATTTCCTGTTGAAGTATTTACATAGAATGCTAGCACTCTAGTCCAGACCAATCATCTATATAGAATGAAATATTATATAGATTAGTGGTCCAGACAATAGAAAAATATCAGTCTTACACGTGCGCTTTATATTCACGGACATGACCGTTATTAAAGCGACTTTAAAACTTTCACAGAGATCTTAAAGAGAAACCACAAAGAAACCTTTCTTGAAAGTGAATTTTGTTTTTCTTAATTTCAATCAATGTTTCATCAACCAATTGCCTAGTTTTAATATATAATTTAATATAAAGTCTGCAAACTGGACTTTGGTCTCATGAATGAAGCTTGGCGTATGCCTATACTCACAGGGCTGAGAAATATATAGACTATGCATGCATCTTTGAAAGCAGAGGTTGCAGGAGTCAAAGGGTTAACCAGCTTAACCTTATAGTACTGTTATTCTGCAGCAGTCGGGGTGATAGAAACTGTCGGATGTTCATGTATTGCTAGATTATCGTGCATCAGCTATCCTTTGGAAGTTATGAAGAAATGAAAAAATTTGTTTTATCTGTGATTTAATAAAAAAAATAACGTGATCAGATCACATTTGATGAATGTTTTTTTTTTTTTTTTTTCGATTATGTTTAGTGATGTGTCATCCCCACAATCTAAAACACATGGCAAAAAAGCATAGACCAGACTCGAACCAGTCGTTGTCATGGCAGCGCGCATTGTTTAGAGCAGAAAAATGTGGATATGCTGCTTTTCCCTCACTCGATCAAACTATCTATTTACAGAAATTAATATAATTAATTTATATTTTTCTCAGCTAATTTAAAAATTGTATTTTATTAATTTAGTTTATATTAAAATAATTATTTATTGAATTCTGTTGTTTTCCAGTATTAATTTCAGCCACGACTCATCTTTTCTGTGTGCGTCAAGCGACAAGGGAACTGTGCACATATTTGCTCTGAAAGACACCAAACTGAACCGTCGCTCTGCGTAAGATTTTCACAAACACTCCTAGTCGAATATGTTACTAATAAACACTCTATTCATTTCGTTACAGACTATTTGACTTTTGCTGTGTGTGTTTTTTTTTTTAAATATCCTAGTAGTTGTAGTTAGAGAGTCACTGACTTCTTGTCTTCTGTAGTTTGGCGCGTGTAGGAAAGGTGGGTCCGGTCATCGGACAGTATGTGGACAGTCAGTGGTCTCTGGCTAATTTCACGGTGCCGGCTGAGTGCGCTTGCATCTGTGCCTTTGGGAAGAACACCTCCAAAAATGTCAACTCTGTTATTGGTATGTTGTTGTTTTTTTCAAGACTCTTTGATTGAAACATTATTGATCTGTCAGTTTTTCTTATCACATGTATCTCTCTTTTAAAGCCATATGTGTTGATGGGACATTCCACAAGTACGTCTTCACCCCTGATGGAAACTGCAACCGCGAGGCTTTTGACGTGTATCTGGACATTTGTGATGATGATGATTTCTAAAGCTGGAGATTGAGTTGTATCTAATGTAAAATAGTGAACTCTGCTGGTTGAAATCTTGCTGTTGCTTGTTTCTGTGAGTTTATCTTATTGCAATGTATAATCAAATGTATATAAAATCAGTCTGTGTGAATTAATGTCTTCTTGTAAACTTTGATCTTATTGCAGAAGTTTCTCAAAGTCTGTAATCATTTGTTTGTCTTTCAGAAGTACCCAACCTTTAAACACTTTTGAATGATTTCTCATCATTCTTTGTCCTTTTGGTTTGCTGTTACTCTTGAGGAATAAGGTCACTTACACTTTAAGGAACTTTACTCATGAGATCAATACTTACTTTTGGGACTTTTTAGAAGTGGATTTTGGGCTTTGCTGTTGTTATATATTAGATGGAACTTCTAAAATGATAGATCATAGTCATATAAATGATGGAATCAACATATGCATTTTATTATGCACTGTTATATAAAGACAAAATATGACGACTAGTTTTCAGTGCATAAACTACAGTTTAAAAGTTTGGGATAAGATTGTTTAATGTTTTTGAAAGAAATCTCTTATGCTCAAGGCTGCATATTTGATCAAAAATACAGTACAATCAGTAATAATTTGAAATATTACAAATTAAAATGACCTTTTTTGTATTTGACTATATTTTAAAATATAATTAGATCTATCTATGCACAAAAATATTAAGCAGCACAAAAGATAGATAGATAGATAGATAGATAGATAGATAGATAGATAGATAGATAGATAGATAGATAGATAGATAGATAGATAGATAGATAGATAGCATAATAAACGTCTGCATTTTATTCTCAGTGGTTATGCTCACAGACATGCAGACACAAACATGAGTGTTGGGTATTGAGCTGAAAGGGAGGGAGCGTTTGCTGCTCATTATTACACACGGATGTGCTGAACTGTCCGGTGACACAACCATCCAAAAACACCCAACACGGCCCAAAGAGTGTGTCTAGAGTCATCAGAGACGGTGGAGGTGTCGTGTTTGCTTGTTTTGTTGTATGACAGCTGAAGATTGTTGCACCGAAGGTGGGATTTCTCCTCAGAAAGTGAGTTTTTGTCACGCTAGCATGCTAGCCGTCTACGCTAACACAGCAGAAGTGACAAGTGAAAAATATTGAAACTGTATTTGACTGAAAATCTCTTAAATAATGTAATCTGGCATTTAAACGTTTTAATTTGGGGGAAAACATGCTTATTTATATAGATAAAATATGTAAATATGTTAAATGTACGGGATGTTTACTAGCTTTTATTAGCTCTTCATAGCTTTAGCACATAACTGATATGCTAAATTGATTATTGAAAAACATTAACGTTAGAGGGGTTTTGGATGATTTCGTTAGGTTCATCTAACGTTAAATCAGAAATGTCTTGTAAAATTCAACACTGAAATTGTAATATTTGACAGGACATTGCTGCTGGTTAGGATGGATCGAAAGCTAACGTTAATATTGACGTTTGCCCAAGCATCAAAATTAATTTGGCACCAAGCATATTTATTGTCAATAAATTATAAACTTTCCACGGCTTATATTACACGCATTGTGGCAGATTTGACGCTTGGGCACATGACTGACTTCTTGCAACCTTCCCTTTTCAACATGTGTGTGTGTTTGTCAATCACAGCCATTGCATGTCATTTGCATAGACGTTGCATACTGAAAGACGTAATTACATATTTAATTGAGTTGTACAGTTTATCTTTTTATTTTACTATTTAGGCACAGTTTAGTCCACAAGGATGGCTTCTCGTAAAAAGGTGCTCCTGAAGGTGATCATTCTTGGGGATTCTGGGTAAGTGATGTTCTTCTGAAACAGTCATGGCTGACAATGGTTTTGAGACAAACTTTTAGATTATACAATAATTGCTTTTCTATTTCTGTCTAACAGTGTTGGGAAGACCTCTTTGATGAACCAATATGTCAATAAGAAGTTCAGCAATCAATATAAAGCCACTATCGGTGCAGATTTTCTTACCAAGGAGGTGATGGTGGATGACAGGCTGGTGACAATGCAGGTATGACTCTTTAAATGTTACATTTTTCTATAGCACATTTTATTTATATACAATTATGTTTTATTTTATTACCAGAGGTCCATGTAGAATAGACCTTTCTCACAACTTCCGTATTTGTGACCGGAAATACGCAATTGTCGTGGTAATCTTCTTCCGCTCCATTTATAACAGATAGCGCCGCAGGCAAATAGTGAGAGTTGTTGCGTACCGATCTTTTTTGTTATTCCCAAAAGCAGCCATATCTGTCGTTATCATTCCTTCCCTCGTCAGTTCCCTGTCGATGAAGTTCGACAGAAATGGATTCAGGCAATCTGGCGGGATGTTATTGATCCTGTGATCTTCTGTACTTATCATGTCACCATTCACTAAGCCGTCATTGTTTATGTTTATTTTTTATGTTTTATGATTTGTGTATTTTGAAGGAACATTAGTTCATGTTCAACTTTTTTAAGATATTTGTATCCAGCGTAAAAAACATCACACTATAAACAAGATAAATAAGAACACACAACAGTGGGCTACATATAAATTTAAAATATTAATATATACTATTCTGAGTATTTAACAATCTGAGTGTACAAGGGATAAATTAATATTTGTATAAATTGTTCTTCATCTTTGATCGTTCTATAGCAAGAGCAATGCAAAAAAAAATTCACTACCTAAGAGGATAACTGTTGAATAAAACTGACAGACTTCTTTCTGGTATTCACATCAAAATGCAGTTTATTGTAAATAATAGTCCCTAAATATGAATAACTTTCCACACACTCCACCTTCTTACCTTTAATGAATGTATATTGGGAAGAATGAGCTTCAGTTCTGAAATCAATAGTCATATCTTTGGTCTTAGATACATCAGCTGCAGACAAGCATCACCACAGCATTTTACAAAGTCATCAACAACTGGACCATGACAAGTTTACATTTTTTCGAAGTTTTGAAGACTCTCTGATCAATTTTCTCTTCCCAGGGTAGGTTTTTCTGATGTGTCGACAGTTGACGGGAACTCCGCTTCCACAACGATTATGTATTTCCGTTTTTTGTGAAAAAGGTCTATAGTCAAGACTTTTTACAGGAAAAATAATTAGTAATATAATATAATTGTGTTATATTAAGCATTTTTGCTGTAAAAAGGCATGACTAACATTGTAAGTGGATCTCATATATGTGTGATTTAAAGTGCCCCTATTATGGATTTGAAAATGACCTTTCATGTGGTGTGTAACATAGCTTTTAAGTGAATGAAAACATACTGCAAAGTTATAAATCTGAAAGTGCACCGTATATAAAGTTATTGTCTTTCAAAAGTAAGAGTCGACTCTGAGTCAATGAAATGAATCGTTTTTCAAACGAGTCATAAGCTGTTTCGTTGTGACGTCAAGAAGAAACATTAGCATATTGCCCGCTCACTTATTGTGCGCCCAGACACCAGGGAAAACTTGAACCTCAAACCGGCAGCTGATTCCTGTGGATACTGAATTGCATCATGTCGAGAAGACGCTGTGTTGTACAGTGTGACTGTAAAGCCATTTCTTTTCACTGCCCAAGGACGAGCATGTGAAGAATCAGCCGTTGAAATTCATCTTTACTACGATACCACAGCAGTATAATCCTAAACTTTTGCTGTGTCCCCTTTATTTTACTGAAAAATCTTCTTCTCCAATCTCGAAGTTCAATGCAGGATTCGCAAACCGCTTGCTCTTGAAAGATGGTGTTCAAAATGCTTAGTTTTAAGTTTAATATTGTGTAGGTCCCCTGCTAACTGGTTAACTCACCTTACTGAATTACTTCGGCTAATCAGCTGTGGGCCACTATTACCTAAAACCGTCTACTAAAGGAATACTTCACCTTTGGAAAAATAAATGTGTATTTAAAATGGGTCATTTAAGTATAAGAAATGTGAAATTATTTTTGAATTTGGAGCTTTCTAGACTGAGAAAAGCCAGAAAATGTATTTTTGGCTTATGTGGATGAAAGACTACAACTCCCAAAATGCACTTCGCTGCCCTAGGAGGCCACGCCTACCAGTAACAGAGCGCAGTAGTTAAACAACAAGTCTAGGCTACTAGTGAGTCTCCATGATGAGTCTGCCCGAAAATGTGTTTCTTGATCGCCCAAAATGTCTAGGATTCGGCTTTTGCGTTCTACAGTCACAATTAATTATGTTTACTGTGGCGAGCAGGATGAGACTGAGGGCCGCGGGGGAACGGCGTGAGCCCGGTGGCGTGATTACCGATGAGCGACACCTGTGCAACGCACCTGTCTTGTACCTCTCACGCAGGAGCGGGAATTTTCTTAGCAATGTAAAACGCACATCAACCGATCACTTGTTTAGCGTTCACGTAAACACTACATTCAGATTCACCAATCGGAATGAATTCAGTTAGATTGAAATGTAAACAATGAATGTCGACTGCAGAAAGCAAAAGCTGAATCCCGGACATCGACGGCCGGACATGTCCGGGAAAAAGAGGATGGTAACCCCTAAAGTTACTACTCAGCTTTCTCCACAGAACAAGAGTCTGCTAGCTTTGCTTCCAAAAAAAAAATGGCTGACTCTATGTGTAATCCCAATCCTCCATAATGCATCCATCTGCGTATTCAATAGCTTCGTCCTTATTTTCAAAAAGTTTCTGTCGGTGAAATCAAACGCACTGGCTCTGATCTGTGATAGGTCGATTAGCGCATTAGGTCCAACCCCCTATGGGCGGGTTTGAAAGGGTGGGATCTAATGCTTGTAGTATTTACAGAAATCCCCCCACTCTTACACTTCCTCTGACAATGACGTAAAATGACGATATTTGCGTCATTGTGGGGGGAAGTGAAAAAGGTAAACAACAGATTTCTCTCGTCTCAGGGGAAAATGAGAGACTTTTGCACGACTATTCAATAGTATAACTGGGTATCTAACAATGGAAAACTTAATGCAAAGGGGTGGAGTTACCCTTTAATGCTGATTGTCAATAATTCTCACTATTTTAGTTTGGAGCAAGATTTGTTTTACCAACGTTTATGCTTCATCAGTCATACATGTTAGAGCTCGGCTAATGTATGCACTGTTATTGAGACAGTTTCCACATGTTCGCCACAATAAATTAGAAAAATACTCTGTAAATAAATAATTACAAGTAAAATGACCTAATGCACAGATCCAATATAATAATACACATCTGATTTCTCTTTAAACTCTTTACGTTCACTGTGGGAATACTTGCCGAGAATACTTTTGTTTTATTTTGTTTATGACATTTCCTATTATACTATTTTCAGAAATATTATACCTATTATCCAACTTTCAGAAATTAAGATAAATGGAAAAATACTCTGTAAATAAATAATTACAAGTAAAATGACCTAATGCACAGATCCAATATAATAATACACATCTGATTTCTCTTTAAACTCTTTACGTTCACTGTGGGAATACTTGCCGAGAATACTTTTGTTTTATTTTGTTTATGACATTTCCTATTATACTATTTTCAGAAATATTATACCTATTATCCAACTTTCAGAAATTAAGATAAATGGACACATTACAAATAATATAGAGGAAGTTGCAGATGCCTTCAATAATTATTTTTGTGAATCTGTATCCACTATTGCCCAAAGCTTCCCACCTAACAATCTAAATACTTGTCTGATAAATAATTCACAGCCAATTTTCAATTTAGGGATCGTTACAGAATCTGAAGTCTTACAGACAATAAGAACACTAAAAGCTTCCAGAACTAGAGATATATTTGGCATAGATATGTGCATGCTGAAAGAACTCAGTTCCACATTATTAACACCAGTCACCAAAATGGTCAATCTCTCCATTACTGAGGCAGTATTTCCAAATGTGTGGAAGTTAGCTGCTGTCGTTCCAATTTTCAAAAATGGAGATCTATTATCAGTGGACAATTATAGACCAATTAGCATCACACCCACAGTGTCAAAAGTTGCAGAGAAATTAATTTCCAAACAAATATTAACACATTTGAATACCACTTCATTTTCCCTTCATTCAATGCAATTTGGTTTCAGAACTCAACATTCTACGGAAACTGCTAATTGTTTTTTCATAGAGAATATCAAACATTTACTGGATAAAGGTGGCGTGGTTGGAGCTGTTTTTCTCGATCTAAAAAGAGCCTTTGACACTGTAAACCATAAAATTTTATTAACTAAACTAAGCAAATTTAATTTTTCCTCAGATGCAATAAAATGGATAGAATCATATCTATCGAATCGCTCACAGTCAGTTCGGATCAGAGATTACCACTCACCGCCCCTTACCATGTCTACAGGGGTACCTCAAGGTTCTATCTTGGGGCCTCTGTTATTTTCACTATATATAAACGATCTCCCCTCAGTTTGTCCAGATGACTACATTCAGATGTACGCAGACGATACAGTCATTTATATTCATGGCAAAAACATAAAAGAAGTTTCGGAAAAACTTACACAGTCTATGGCCCATGTTGCTGAATGGTTAAATCAATCCTGCTTAAAACTTAATGTAAATAAAACAGTATCAATGTACTTTTCAAAGTCAAACATTGCAAATAATCAAGCAGATATTTTTGTGATGGGGGAAAAAATAAAAGTTGTGTCAGAATTCAAATATCTAGGCATTTTAATAGACTCTAAATTAACTTTTAAATCACAGATAAAACAGGTCTGCAATCGAGTCAAATTTAATATTGCTAATTTCCGGTTCATAAGACCACAATTGTCACTTCAGGCAGCCAAAATGTTCATGTACAGTATGGTTCTGTCTCACATTACTTACTGTTTTACAACCTGGTCACAGGCAAATAAAACAACATTAAAATCTTTAGAGTCACTTTACAAACAGACAATTAAAATTCTGGATAAAAAGCCCTCAAGTTATCACCATTGTGCCATTTTACAGAAGCATAAGCTTTTAGGTTGGGAAAATGTCATCAAGTATTCAAATCTTTGTCTGTTATACAAAATCATCCATGGTCTGTCATCCCCTCCACTCAGTCAGTTTGTAAACATTAGAAACACCACACAGAGAGTAACACGAGGGTCGGCCCGAGGAGACTGTGTTGTTCCTCTGCGAAAAAGTGCATTTAGTCAGAGTGCCTTTTCAGTCACAGCAGCGCAGGAGTGGAACTCTGTCCCTCAGAACATCAGAGAACTCACCACATACTCTCTATTCAAAAAACATCTGAAAAACTGGTTCATAACACATCAGACATGTGAGCATTAATAAGACTAGGTATCGTCACTTCTTAATCCAACGGTACTGCGACCTGTGTCTATGCTGGGTCAGTGTGTAGTATAATTTTTATAAATTGGTATCAATTTTAACAATGTCTATTATAGCAAGTGTGTACACTGTATTTATTAGAACTGAAGAAATATCTGTTTTACGGTTTTTTATATTTGTATTGTTCATTGTAATCTTTTATTGTTGTTCATTTTAGGTAGACAATTTTAAGATCTGTCCAGGGACAACAGATGAAAAATAGCCTTTTGGCTAATTCTGGTGCATTTACAGTAATGTCAATTAATGTACATTGTCCCTGTCAAATAACTAACTAAATAAATAAATAAATAAATATATTCTGCCCTATATTCAGATCTGGGACACGGCAGGACAAGAGCGCTTCCAGTCGTTGGGTGTGGCTTTTTACCGTGGAGCGGACTGCTGCGTGCTGGTGTACGACGTCACAGCGCCCAACACCTTCAAAACCCTGGACAGCTGGAGGGACGAGTTTCTCATTCAGGCCAGCCCACGAGACCCGGAGAACTTCCCCTTTGTAGTGCTCGGCAACAAAATCGACTTGGAGAACAGACAGGTCTGTCTCCGTTCAATCATATTTGACATCAAAATCTGAAAAGAAAACCACCAGATTATTTCAAAATCCTCTAAACACAATTTTCTTGCGTTGTTTTTTAAAAGTTTGGAATAGTTACGATGTCTTTGAAAGTTTCCTCTGTTTACCAAAGCTGCCATAATTTAATCAAAAATACAGGAATAAAAATAAATATTATTACAATTAGAAATTTTTATTTGAATTTACAGTATTTTAAAATGTAATTTATTTTTGTGATCAAAGCTGAATTTTCAGCATCATTACTCCAGTCTTCAGTGTCACATGATCGTTCAGAAATCATTCTAATGCTGATTTGCTGCTCAGAAAACAATTACTATTAGGATTATCAATTTTGAAAACAGTTGTGCTGCTTCATATTTTTGGTCAAATAAATGCAGCCTTGGCATGCATAAAGAGACACCTTCAAAACCATTAAAAAAGCTTAATTCAAAACTGGTTTTAAATTTCATCTTAAAGTTGCAGTTATTGTTTTTGACCTTTTTATTAGATTTAGCTTTTTTTTTTAAATGTCTATATGATTTTTTTTTATTAATTTTAATTTATTCAGTTAATTATTTTAGTACATAAAGTTAAACTAAGTAAAAATGAGAAATGCTGTCTTGCTAATTAGCTGGGGGAAAAAAATTGTTTATTTATATTTTATTTTGTTTCAACTAATGAAAATGTTTTAGGTAACCATAATAGAGTGCATCAGTCGGATTCCGGAAATAAAAACTACAGTCATTTTCTCCATAGGAAAATTGATTTTTAACTTTAAAGGGTTGGTTCACCCAAAAATGAAAATTAAGTCATTAATTACTAATCTGAGAGCTAGATCAGTCCTATATAGACTGCTTAAGGGACTGGCTCTTGACGGCCCATAAAGTCATTAAAGAAAAGGTTTAAATATTCCATGTGCCTACAGCGGCTCAATTATAAGTTTATCAAGCGACGAGACTACTTTTTGTGCGAAAAAAACATAAATAACGACTTTATTCCACTATTCCATTACTTCCTTATGGGCGCATGCGCGAGAACTGAGACGAGGACGTTCTCATTCGTCTACTTCTTGTTACCGGCTGCTCACCGCTTAGCAGCTTTACCGCCACCTACCGTATAAAATGATGATCCATATATAAGGCGCTCCGGATTATAAGGAACACTGTCGTTTTTTGAGAAGTTTAAAGACTTTTAAGTGCACCTTATAGTGCGGAAAATACGCAAAATTGAAAAGCGTATGTACAGCGCGCATCTTCCTCTGCTTGTAAACAGAAAGTTTTGCGCTTCCAGATATATCAGCACATCATCTTATACGGTAGGGGGCGGTAAAACTCCTAAGCGGTGAGCAGCCGGTAACAAGAAGTAGACGAATGAGAACGTCCCCGTCTCAGTTCTCGCGCATATGCGCCCATAAGGAAGTAATGGAATAGTGGAATAAAGTCGTTATTTATGTTTTTTTCACACAAAAAGTAGTCTCGTCGCTTGATAAACTTATAATTGAGCCGCTGTAGGCACATGGAATATTTAAACCTTTCTTTAATGACTTTATGGGCCGTCAAGAGCCAGTCCCTTAGGCAGTCTATGTAGGACTGATCCAGCTCTCAGATTCAATCAAAAATATCTTTATTTGTGTTCCGAAGATGAACGAAGGTCTTACGGGGTTGGTACAGCATGGGGGTGAGTAATTAATGACTTAATTTTCATTTTTGGGTGAACTAACCCTTTAACTTATAAATACAGCTTTACTGTGAGCCATGCGATTGTTAATCACTAGTATTTGCTTCTGCTGAAGCCGTCACCCTGAATTATTTCAACTTAGTTACAAAATAATATTGTTTACCAGCAGGATTTGTGATGGAAAGCAACATTACCTTAGCCTGGTCCCACCAGACTCTCTTACATTTCATTTGTACAGAGAGTCTGGCCTCGCTCCATTGACAAGCGATAACATCCTTGTAGGCAGGTACTCCATGTTGAAGTTTAAAACTATAGGATCTGCCCAGAATCACCCTCGATCTGCCATAACCAATCGCTGACGTTTAGTCGTGACTCATGACGTATGACGACTCAAACCACTCAAACTCAACGTCATCATTGTCAGCCACTCCCTCTGTTCGCTGATTGGACTGGTAAAAAAAATTGACCGGAGAAAACCAAAGAATACACCACAATCCCAGACGTAATACTGAAGGAAAATAAAAATTGAGCAGAAGTATGTAGGAGAGCCAGGTTAACATTACCTATGATGCTATACTGAAAATTCCACCAATCAGGGAGGGTAAAGAAGCTCCGTTTACTCCCATGAAGCACTGCAAATGACGTATTTAAGTCTGGTTTAAATATTTACGTCTGGTTTGGTTCACGGCATGTAAAGACTGTTTTTAAATCCCTATGGGAGAAATGAATGGAAAAAATACTTCTGGGACCAACACCGCTGAAAAACAGGCTGGCACTGTTGTCATATATCAATTTACTATATTAATTGACCCTCTTGTGCAGGTGACAACGAAACGAGCCCAGGCGTGGTGTCAGAGCAAAAGCAATATCCCATACTTCGAGACCAGCGCAAAAGAGGCCATCAACGTGGACCAAGCTTTCCAAACGATCGCTCGCAACGCCCTCAAACAGGTACGCACCGTTTGACATGTCCAATAACAGCACCCTCAACTCTGATACTAACAGCTGTTCGTGTCACAGGAGTCTGAGGTGGAGACATACGACTTCCCAGACCAGATTAAACTGAGAGATGACAGACCTGTGTCCTCTGGTGACAGCTGCAGCTGCTGAGATGGGACGCGAGGAGACGAGAGGAGCAGAGACGCAGGGGGAAAGCCAGCGCGGGGGCGGACCGATCCCGATAGTGCAAAGCATTCAGAAGAAAACACTTTTTTTTCCAAACTTGTATGTAAAGAACTGTTAGGAATTTAAAGAAGCTCCCTGCCACATTATCAGTTTTAATATAACTACATTTAAGGATATTATTTCTATGAGAAAGAAATGATAGTTATTCTATTATTTACAAGTGATTTATTTTTTTTTGTTCTTTTTGCATTGTCTTCTATAGTGTATTCTTTCATCCATGCAGAATATAGTCTTTTAGACTCGTCTCCTGCTTGTATGTCCGTGCCTTTTTTTTTTTTTAGGATGTAGAAGCTGTCACACTTCCTTTATAATTCCTTATTTTTTGCCAAATTCTTTAACATTAACCTTTATTGATTATTTAACTAAATCTGCACTGCATAAATAGCCCAACATGTCATGATATCTAAATCTTGAGCATGATTTAAGAGTTTATCAGCTGCCAAGACCAGAAAGAAAAAAAGGTTTGTGCCTAGAGAAACTCACACACACGATTCCTTCTTCAGTATAGGAGGCTGAATAGCTTTGGTGGTGGTGTCGAATGAAAATCTTTGGGGATCTGGGAGCTCACAAAGTATTAAGTGCAATCATTTTAACCCTGCAACATGTTTCTTTCTCTTGACTGAAAGCGTTTCCCCAGTTATAGTGTATGAATGTAACAAATTAATGATTAATTCCTGTCTCCTGCAAACATGTTTTGATCTCATGCTTGGTTTACATTTCAATGTTCATACATTTTTAATAGGCTCATCTCATTGAGCAAATTATGGGTATGAATCATGTAGGTCAATAAAGGCACAAAATGTAAGATGAAATCAGAGAGTTCTGACAAACCCGTGAATCCATGTGATTTTTTTTTTTTTTTTTAACGTCTTTATTTCGATCAACCAGTATTGTAGATGATTGTTTGAAAACTCCAAGTGATGTCTACCAATAGAAACCAAGATCTGTCCCTCTTTTATAAAACAATGACCTTTCCTTGACCACTTAAATCATCTCTCAGTATTGTTTTCTCAACAGTGCTCCAATAATAAATCTTTATTCAAATGACGAAACACACTGTTTTGGCTTCTGTTGCATCGCAAAACTTTAACACAAAACATTTTCTTTAAGACATGATGTGTTGCATCTCTCAGGCAGAGCAAAGGCACATAATTGTGCTTTTTGAGTCTTTGCAGTCCAAACTGAACACATTGGAGATGATGTTCCATATGAGACATCCATATGTCTCATCTTATGCTTGTATTAGTGCCTCAAGAGCGTCAATGTGAGACAGGAGGACCAAATGCATCCATTGTTTCCATCACTAGAGACAAATGGTCCAAAAACGAACTTACAGAGACACGAAGAATACGTGCTTCATCTGCAGTCCATCTCCTATAAAGGCATGAAGAAAAATCATGTTTAGTTTTGTGTATTTCAACAACCACGGGTACATAGATCTTAATTTAATGTGAATTGAATGTATCACAAATAGATAGGCTGGTGCTTTAAATAAAAAAGACTAGGTAACTGGGTCAGTGAGGGAAAATGTCGACCTAAAAGTAAATTAGGACAACTATTTTGAATGATAGGTTTTTAGGTGATCGTTGATTGGGTGTTACTCACACAGACAGTGTTTGTCCTAAAACATCCAGATTTTTACTGATTCCTCCTTTCCTGGGCTCAGGATCAGGAGATAAAGACTGCAGGGCAATAATTGCCTCTCTCTCAGACGGGAAAGGGACCTGTAAAAAGCTGATGTTTTGTAGAGTTTAAGAAACCAGAACTTGGAAATATTTCTTAAGCATGATTTACAGCTCTACTGTGTTATTAGGCGGCTGCTGCACATGGTGTCTGATCAAACCCCGCCGTGCAAGCAGGTAAGAGTTGAATAAGTCGGAATAAATCTTGCGATATAGAAGAACAGTTGGACTAGTGATGTTTTGGACATTTAGAAGCAACAATAAAAGGATACAATTCAAGTTTTCTTTCTGAACCGTTTTCACTCATGCAAGTCGCCATGTTGACATGTTTTGTTATGGTTTAGATTGAAAGCGGCATTTTCGTCAAGTTTCGACAAAACCTACCCTTAATTTCATAAAATTACATTCGATTTGGATTTACATCACAGTCACATCAACATAAACGTATGTATGTATGTATTTAATATACTTTTTACTGATTATTGTACTCTTTGTTTAGAACTTTCTTTGTTTTTTTATTATTTAAATTGAAAGTCTGCGTCTAGGACAAAAACAATATCATTGTTGATAATATTATGTCCTACATAAAATTGCCTACGTTGGAAAAAGTAGCAAAAATAATTCATTAAGTGAAGATAAGCTATTATTTATATTTACAGTATATGTGTGTGAAATGGCGATTTAATTGTAATCTTTTGCTAAATTATTGTAATAATATTATAGTTGTTATGTATTTCTCCTTGAAATAAACAACATAAATAAGTAGCTCATTATTGAAAAATCTACTGTCACTCTACTGAAAACATATTAATAGTAGGCTAGTAGTAGCATATTAAATTTTACCTCAACAACAGTCCTCAGGTCAGTTCAAATTACATTTATTCTACATTAGAAAAACATTAGACATTAACTACTACATTTATTCAGTCAGTAACAGACCTACAACATATTCACACTTTCATCACAAATGTCATAGCCAACGAAATGGTCGTAAGGTGGGGTAGACGCGTCGATGATGCCCAAAACAAAGCTGTCTAGGTAGTGTGGCTAGGTAAGGCTGCTCACAAGGTCTTGAGACACACTCGATTCTCTCGCTGTAGCCTGGCGCTGGATGTGTTCAGTCCTCCGTGCTTCTTTTTTGTAGGTAAGTCAGACACAACGGAACCTCTTTTATTGCATGCTGTCGTTAAAGCTTAAATTTTGTCCTTTTATGAAAAATCACAAATCCTAAAAATGAGGGCTAAATATTATTTTCCATTTTTCTATTATAATGATACTGATACTGTAAACAGTAAAGTAATTTTTACAAGGACCATAATATAATAAAAAATAAGCCTTTCTAATTGTTTCAAATGTTTTGCTGTTACTACTGTTTACCTTTATGCTTGAATATTGAAATGTAAATTAAATATATTTATATATATAATATTGTTACAGTTTAACTATACATTTAAGTAGGCTACTAATTAAATTAACAACATTAGAGTTAGGAATAGGGTTATGTTTAGGGTTAGTTGTATTTTTTTATGCATAATTCACTGTTATTACTGCTGTAACAGGCACTGTAAAAATACAGTTTTGGCATTTCACCTCTATATCTTTTTCTGTGTTGTTGTTCATATTTAATTATTTTATTTTTTTAAATACATGTATACATTGGGTTTATTGGAAATATGGGATTCAAATACTTATTTAAAACTGAAAATAAACTGAAAGTCTTTTGAAAATGTCAAACAAAGAAGTGTAATGGCATTAACTATAGGCCTATAAGAAATATTTAAGACAATACTAAGAGATGCATGTTCAATTTACACTTGAATTGTTACTTTAATAATATGATTATTAATAATGAGGATAAAAACAAACTGTATTTAAACATTTAAAAATGGACTTTATTTACTACTGTTACTGTACTATTGTTACATTTATGTTTAGACTGCAATATACTGTATTTTTTTTTCTTCAGCATTTTTGTCTTGTTTTCCAGTTCAAATATCTTCTTAAACCAAAATACATTTTCTTCTACTACCTTGAGATGAATAATGTTTTTTAATAAATGTATCTGTTGTGGGTTTATGCACAACAGATACATTTATGCTTAAAACAAGTTCAAATATCTGTCAATGGGGTCAGAAAAATAAACACAGTTAAAAGGGAAAACAAGATTATTTTTCTTACCCTGTTGGCAGATATTTTTTACTGTTTTAAGCACACACACACACACATCAGAAAACAAGACTAAAATCTTAAGTCATGTTGCTTCTACATGTATCATAATTTAAAAATGTATACTGGAAAACAAGACTTATAAAAAAATACTTATAAAACCTTTTTTTGCAGTATAGTTTATCCACAACTCTGTCCTCATGATCCCAGCTGCTGTAATGCCTTCATTTCTTTCTGCCATCAATAAAGTATCATAAACATCCATTGCAAACACAGTAGTTTATTTTGTTTTTGGATTTCATTGCATTTAAAGATGCACGATCCTCCAGCGGTGACAGTCTCCCAGGCTGATGGGAACTCTCCGTGACCTCCAGTTTGCCTTGCAGACCAAGATCGAGGAGCTGCGGCAACGTGACACTCTTATCGATGAGCTAGAGCTGGAGCTGGACGCTAAAGATGACCTCATCAGACAACTACAGGGCAAGCTGGACCGTCTCCGCACCGGCCCTGTCACACACAACCCCTCTGGGGTCACAGACATCACAGGTGAGCTGGGTACACTGTGATTAACTGTAGACACATGCTACATTTTATTTATTGTTCCACTTTATTTTATTTTATTGGTATTGGAGCAGCGTCCCCAGATGAGCCTCAGCGCACTAAACGGCAGGCCATATCAGCCGAACCCACGGCGCTGGATCCAAATCAACTCACCCATGTCACCCTGACCAACTACAGCAAGAGCGAAGAGTGAGTTAGAGCCTGTACACACCAGAAAAACACCCTGCAGCTTATAAAGAGGATCTATTATACTTTGATACATTTTCAACTTTCCTTAGTGTGTAATGTTGCTGTTTAAGCATTTTAAAAGGGCGGTAAAGTTAAAGCACAAAGTCATCGTTGTCTCTGTATCAGTGCACACTGTTTCTGAACTCCCTGAAACTCCCTGAACTCCCTGAACTCCCTGAATGGAGGCTTTGCAGTTTCTCCGGGAACGAGGATGTCAACGTATTGCTCCTTTACATAATTCTCACTCATGGCATACGTGCGTTCGTAGTGTGTTGTTGCCATGTCCAAGAGACGTTGTATTTCCCACCCCAATCTATCTTACAAAACTGATGCCATTGTTAGCGTGTTTACCAATTCTGTGTCTGAAAAGTATGCGAAAAACAGTACGCCAACAGTGTAGTATTTCCGGAATACTTACAGTACATTCGAAAGATTTTTGGCAAAAAGTACCTGGATGACCTATTACTTCTGGCAGGATTTTGGAGTGGACACTTCGATGTACACTTTACTATCCCATGAGGCCATGGGAGAGAATTTATGAATGCCTGCAGCCGCATTTCCATTACAGAAACTTTTGCGATATTTTCTAAATTATTGCGAAATGACAGCGTTTTCATTATTAACCAATGTTATGTGACTAAAACAACATTTTTCCCTCTCGCGATAAGTCATTCAAATCATGGCAACGGATGTTGGTAGGTTTATGTGTCTCCCTCCTGCTTCAGGTCTTGATAAATTGTAGCATTTCTTTGTTGTTTAGAATCCAGTATTACCGTAATTCTTTTGTCTTTTATGAGTTTAATAAAGAATTCTGTCTCTTCTTCTGTCCAAACATACCGCGTCATCTTTAAAAAATAATCGACTTTTACGTACACCGGTGACCTGTAAATGTGGGAAAAACTTTCTCCGTTGCTGTTTTGCAAAATTTTCCTTTTTCGAAATGCCTGAAAAACGTTTTTGCGATAAATGGGTGTTTTTGCGTAATTGACGTGTTTCCATTGGGCGTATTTTCAATTCGCAATTTCAATTTGTTCAATTTGAAGGGTAATGGAGACGCAACTGATGCTGGCAGGTCATGTGACACAGTAACAACATGGTGAATGTATGGATCACAGTGACGGTGAATGGATGCTGTCGTGGAACTAGGGGTGTAATGGTTATAGTTGAAAATCGTCATTAGAACTCTGTAACCGCCAAAACCATGTTCTAAAATTTTTTTTTTCACAATTTTTTTTTATCATAGAGAATGTTTAAATACTAATATCAGCTTACGAACGATAACGGAGGCGGAGTTAGTGGTGGCGGAGTTAGTTGATTGGTGATGCCGCTTTGGAAATGATTTGTCTATGAAGCTTTGCCAGACCATAACTCAAGTACAACTGAGAATGGTCTAGTTTTAACCAGGCTACTATGTTCCTACACTCACCTAAAGGATTGCTAGGAACACCATACTAATGCTGTGTTTGATGCCCTTTCGCCTTCAGTACTGCCTTAATTCTACGTGGCATTGATTCAACAAGGTGCTGAAAGTATTCTTTAGAAATGTTGACCCATATTGATAGGATAGCATCTTGCAGTTGATGGAGATTTGTGGGATGCACATCCAAGGCACAAAGCTCCCATTCCACCACATCCCGAAGATGCTCTTGTGGCTTCACAAATGCTTTGCTGCATACCTCGGTTTTAACGAGTGGTTATTTCAGTCAAAGTTGCTCTTCTATCAGCTTGAATCAGTCGGCCCATTCTCCTCTGACCTCTAGCATCGAAAAGGCATTTTCGCCCACAGGACTGCCGCATACTGGATGTTTTCCCCTTTTCACACCATTCTTTGTAAACCCAAGAAATGGTTGTGCGTGAAAATCCCAGTAACTGAGCAGATTGTGAAATACTCAGACCGGCCCGTCTGGCACCAACAACCATGCCACGCTCAAAATTGCTCAAATCACCTTTCTTTCCCAGTCTGACATTCAGTTTGGAGTTCAGGAGATTGTCTTGACCAGGACCACACTCCTAAATGCATTGAACCAACTGCCATGTGATTGGTTGATTAGATAATTGCATTAATGAGAAATTGAACAGGTGTTTTTATAACAAAATATCTAGCATTAATTCATTCTCAGATTCAAAAAACAGATTTATTAAAAGAAGTTTATTGCTCCACCACCTGCGTGACATCATTAGCCAACGTGGTTGAAAGCCAAATTTGCGACGATAAGGTTTCGGGGAAATTTTAGTTGATTTCTTCAACAATGCAATGCATCATACTATATGGCAGTGAAGCATGAGTTGCGTCGTTGTACGGGAAACTCACCCCTGAGCATTTCTGACGGACTGGGAAGACAGGTGCTGCAACATTTGATAAATAATGAGTTTTTTGAGCATTCAAGCATGAAAGC